ATGAGAATGTGTAGTATGTGTAAATTTTAAAAAGTTGAGAATTTATGCTAAGAAGTCTTGTGTATAGATATTGCTATAAGAACAAGAGATAATTGTTTCTAATAATAATAATAATAATATCACAATACAACCAATTACTATGAACCCCTTATTATTTCGTATATTTGGTTAATAACATATTAAATCCCAAACAAGTTTATTGAATATACTTTTAAACATACTTAAATATCATATAAGTGAGCAAAACTTTGAACAAATTAAATTATAATTTCTTATTCAATTATTGTATTGAAATTTATCGAAAATAAATCCCTTAATTATTGTTGACAGAATTATTTTTTAAACAAAAATGTCCTTCTGAAAATAAACTACCGATATTTATTAAAATTAAATTAAATTTAAACTTTATTCCTACATACGTATACAGACTTGAAAAATTAAAGCACAACTTTTGCTAGTAAATTTTTTTAGTAACCTAAAAGAGCTCCAAAATTTGGAAAATAATTAATTGTTTTATACCGAGTACCAAATTGTATCTTATGTACTTCTATCCCAATAAAAATATAGCTGAATGATTAATGTTCTAAAAACTCACCATAAAGCAATTATCCCCATCAGATCTCCAAAATACGTTAACAAAGAAGACAATATGGCTTAATTATTTTGAATTATAGGCCTCTTCTTGCTTTTTACGTAATTAAACGAGGACTGTGAAGTCCTATGGTCTGGTAGTCCAAATCTGGATCATGTGACGTTCCTGGAGCGCCCCAATCATATAACCCTGGCGAATTGGCTAGTCTATGAGTGAGTCTGTGGGCTATTGAAAAGCCACCGCTTCCTTCCAGCTGTGTAAGCACGATAATAACTTGTCGATGAAGAGGTGGCACAGAATCTACGGTTTTTAAGGTACCACGCGTTGAGACAACGTTGTAACTTTCTTGGCAGTCGCATTTGACATGAATCCATTTGTTTTCATGACGATTTTCCACCATCACGACAAGTCCTGCCCATCCTTTGGTTAAATAATAAGCGGTCATACCCTCTCTGCCCTCATGTCTTTGTCCTCGAGCTAACGTGAGGGATATTATAGCGTCCGCAAGGTTATGTGGAGGGGGGGTTTGTTGTTGAGCACAAACTTTTTTCGAACTATGTATCGCAAGGACATACCTGCAAAGTTTATAAAACAAAACATGGAATCATGCAACACGCATTTTTCAATTTTATCTATACATCAAACAAGAAAGAACAAAAAAATACTCAAAAGATAATGAATAATTTTCCATCATAATAAACATAAAATAATCGTTAAATACAAAAATACAGACAAACGTTTTCCATAGCTTAAAAACAAACATAATTTATCTATGCATTTCTATATTATTAAAAATAAAGCCCGTTATTTATAAATTTAATGAATTTTGGATATTCAAATCCATCGAAAACTTAGACAATTAATCTTACAATATGTCCAACAGAAAATAGCTATAGNCAATTAATCTTACAATATGTCCAACAGAAAATAGCTATAGCTAATTCCTTTTCAGAATATTAAATAAAAATCCCAATGTACAAAAAAATTACCTTGGATATGCTTGAGCGTCAATGAGTCCTGTGTGCCAATGGTTGAAAGCTAAGGGAACCAAAATATATTCACCAGGCTCTAACATTTTGTTACAACTGACAAATCCCCGAACTTGTCTTTTGCTATGTTCTACTAAACCACCAATCTGATTTTGACTCCGAGCCTTGAATACAACTATACACAGATCCAATTGAGATCTAAGAGATTTCTCAGATTTTCTTTGACCTTCCTATACAAGGACAAAAATAATCGTATTTACAATTTAGCGTTTAATTAATTTCATTTTTATTTATTGATAAGAAAAGAATAGACGTACAAACTATTACCTGAAAAAGAGTGAGATCGACTTCTGTAGGCTCAACAACGGTTAATAAGATGCACGAAAGATGTTGCTGTGATGCAAAGGGCGGTAAGATGCCATTGAGCCTAACTTCGTTCCAGCAATTTCTTGCTTTACAAATATCGATGCAGTCAAAATATTTTAAAACATCTGCAAAAGAAATCCAAAATGTACCGTCTTGTGGACCGTTGGGCATTAACTGATGACGTAATTGAGCAGTCCATAAATCTGAATTATCTGACCAGTCCCCTGTCCAAACATAATGACCTAAAAAGTGATAAGAAATAAGGTTCAGTATTATTTATGAAAAATTAAAGAAATTAATTATTAAGTTAGTGCAAATTCTAAAGAAGAAATTTTGTTTAATTTAGGGAAAAATTTATCAAATAATCATAATTTGCTTTTGCAATATTTCAGTTCAACTTTAAGAAATAGCTACTATTTAATTTTTACAAACTCAAGCATTACGTAAGTAAACGTAGTGAGTGGAGGGGTTCAATTTTTTTTGTTAGTTTTACTCACAGAAGGAGCAGGTGGGGACCATAAATTTTACCCAAAATATTTTGATTCAATTTTATTTTCTAGTCCTATTTTAATGCTTAATTGCTAACAGTGGACTAAAAACTAAAAAAGAAAAAAATTTAAAATTCATGTAGAACAAATGATACATATTTTTTCCACTTTTATGTGTTTAATGAGCATTATCAAATCTTCATGCAACATATACATACATGTAACTAGACCTAATAAACAATTTTGTTCTTACCCCAAGGATTTCTTAATTGCAGCAAGCGATATTCCTCAACATCCCTAACGTCTAAAAGTGAGTAAGCATGTCGAGGTCTCAAACCTCTTCTCTGATATTCGACTTCATCTACTTTCATGTTACCTCCACCACAGGAAGCCCCCATTAAAAACATAGCTTGTCTTGATGATAACAACCTATAGTTGTGACAATTAATAAATATCCTGTGAAAATAAAAAAAAACATACTGTGCCCAAATAAGATCAGTATCAAGTTCATCTTCAGCTGGAGTTGGTACAGATGACGGTTGAAGAGGGATACTTTCGCATGGTGCTCCTGTTAATGTTGCTAAGCCTTCAATAGCTCTACCGGAAACTAAAGCTTCATAGCAACCGTGTATTTTAGCAACCGCTTTTTCGATTAGAGGCACCCATAGTTGTTTCCGTTTAGCCTGGTCAAGCAGGTTAGAAATATGTACAAATAGTAATGAAAATTGAGCAATACAATTATATGTACTGGGAAATGTATAAAGAGCATGCTCATTAATTTATAAAATTAAAATGTACAATGTTTTACTAGTCAAGTCTGATTATGATAATATACCTTAGAAATATATAAGCAATTAATATACAATTTACACATTACAGTGAAAATTGGTTATAATAACTTCGGTCGGAAAAATAAAAAGTTGCTCACTCCCAAATGTTTTTGTTATCATTTACTGCAACTACTCTATGGGCCTTATAACGTAAAACGAATTGCGAATTAAAAAAAAGATAATACGAATCAAATGTTTACCGTTTGTGAATATCAATCACATATGAGAAAAACTAGGAATGATTGTGATAACAGGAAATTTCAGCTTTCAGTTATCAAATTTTCTTCATGGTGTTTTAAATACTCATCGTTATTAATAATAATATAGCTAGATAGAAGATATATTTTTAATTAGCATACACTCTTTGTTGCAAAAATTTTACAACGATATTATGTGTAAATTGAGAAACATTCTATTCAAACGGATATATATAGATTTAAAAGATATAATTTATATTTAATAGGTAAATAAAAACACTAACTTTATCTCTAATAAGTAAATTTTATATACTTGTGAATTTATCTGTATACATATATATTTGTTAGAAGACAAGGAAAGAATCTACGGTTTTTAAGGTACCACGCGTTGAGACAACGTTGTAACTTTCTTGGCAGTCGCATTTGACATGAATCCATTTGTTTTCATGACGATTTTCCACCATCACGACAAGTCCTGCCCATCCTTTGGTTAAATAATAAGCGGTCATACCCTCTCTGCCCTCATGTCTTTGTCCTCGAGCTAACGTGAGGGATATTATAGCGTCCGCAAGGTTATGTGGAGGGGGGGTTTGTTGTTGAGCACAAACTTTTTTCGAACTATGTATCGCAAGGACATACCTGCAAAGTTTATAAAACAAAACATGGAATCATGCAACACGCATTTTTCAATTTTATCTATACATCAAACAAGAAAGAACAAAAAAATACTCAAAAGATAATGAATAATTTTCCATCATAATAAACATAAAATAATCGTTAAATACAAAAATACAGACAAACGTTTTCCATAGCTTAAAAACAAACATAATTTATCTATGCATTTCTATATTATTAAAAATAAAGCCCGTTATTTATAAATTTAATGAATTTTGGATATTCAAATCCATCGAAAACTTAGACAATTAATCTTACAATATGTCCAACAGAAAATAGCTATAGCTAATTCCTTTTCAGAATATTAAATAAAAATCCCAATGTACAAAAAAATTACCTTGGATATGCTTGAGCGTCAATGAGTCCTGTGTGCCAATGGTTGAAAGCTAAGGGAACCAAAATATATTCACCAGGCTCTAACATTTTGTTACAACTGACAAATCCCCGAACTTGTCTTTTGCTATGTTCTACNTTTAAAATAATAAAAATAAAAAACAACTTACAGACTATTTCCTCCCTAACATTTAAGCACATATCACATGTAGATACAGATTTGCTATTTTCGAAAGTACAGATTCCACATTGCCAGGTCAGTCTATCCACAACAGGAGACCCTATATGCAATTGTAATCGGTTTATTGATGACTAAGGGCACACAGTTCTTAACTACTTAAAAAACAGGGAGAGAATGTTAAAGGTTTATAAGAGCATAATTAATATTTATTTAGTTCTTTTTTATTTTAATAATGGTGAAATTCTCTTTCTTTAATAAATTTGTTTAAGTTTTATTTATTTATTTAATTTAACAGTTCTACGGGAATTAAACCATTTTAACACTTTAATTTTTGTTTTGATTGGCTACTTATGCTATATCGCAGTGGCCTAAAAATAATATAGAGATTGCCAAAAATAATTAAAAAAAACTTTTGGGGTTTAACAATCTTTAAATTAGTCTTGTTTTGAATACCCCGAATGTCCCTAACAATTGCTTTTGACTAGAATGAGGAAATTGTAAAAATTAAAAACTTTTCTTGAAACTAAAATTAAAAGAAGTAAATAACTAAATCATAGATGCTAATATAAAGAAAGACACTAGGGTAAAATAATTTATAACGTTATCTACAAGACAGGTAGTATAAAGTGATAAATACAACTTACCGTCATCTCTATCAGAGTGAAGATTAATATAGCCTGTCCTATATCGATTTGATGCTTTTCTTTCTCTATTAACTTCTGCATAAAGGCCGTCGACAGAGTTATTGTGCGATTTTTGGGAAGATCTTCGGGGAGATGGACTTCGAGACGAGACAACCGGAGGCGGCTCAAGTTTTGATGATCGGGGCGCTTTACAAGCTTTACAGTTGGAAACATAGAGGGCGTTTTTAAGAGTGCATTGGGGGCAGGACCAAAACTCGCCCTTGCGCAACGTCATATCGTTTGTTGCTAGAACTGATTTTAGTTTCGATCCGCAACAAGCTTCGCAAGTTAATGAATATCCTTTGTTTACCAATGTACACTTTTTACAAGTCCACGTTTGTTCTTCAGATACTTCACCTATAATGAAACACATAAAACACCCTCTATATTACAAAAAAAAAAACAAAAACAGGGGTATACATAAAGCTGAATGTGACTTAAAAATATTATAAAATGTGTAACTATTTAAATAATCATTAGGCAAAAACAAGTTAAATCGTTCATAAATTTATGTATAAATGTTGTTCCTTCGTTTTAAAATATTTAGTATATGGTTTCAATAAATGAAGAGGTATTAGAAAGAATAGGAGAATAGGAGAACAGAGGACTCTGTGGAAGTCAATAAAAAATAGGCGAGATAGGTTGGTAGGACACCTTCTTAGGCATGAAGGTCTAGTCAGAGACATATTAGAGGCAGAAACAGAAGTTAGGAGGGGTAGAGGTAGACCTAGATTAGATTACTCTTCGCAAATAGTTAAGGATGTGGGTTGTTCTAGTTTTAGGGAAATGCGAAGATTAGCTCAGGATAGGAAAGAGTGGAGGTACGTGTCCAACCAGTCTTAGGACTGATGACCTTATGATGATGATGATAATATATAACAAATGAAAATGTAATTTCATTTACACCCTGATTCTAACAAAGCAAATATATACCTGGCATATGCTGAAAATCTTCTTCTAGTCCCTGATCTAAAGTTGCAATGGGAACGGTGGATGAAACTGTTGTACTGTCCCACTTTTGAGATCTGTGATAAATAACAAGCAATAATTTACAGAAAAACTAATTGTTATCATTGCATTCATTTAAATAGAAAACCAAAAAAAAAATCATATTATCTATTTTGGAAACAACATCGGAAAGAAAAGAAACAAGCTTGACTTTTATGGTAAAAAATAAAATCACATCAATCATAATCAAAAGTAATGTTATATAATTTTTAGTAATAGAATATGAAGCGTAACTTACGAACTAGAGTCGTTAGGGCTACTGTATTCGTTAGTAACGATAAAATCACATTAAACATACTTAAAAGTAATATTATATGTATAATTTTTAGTATTAGAATATGAAAAGTAACTTACGAACTAGAGTCGTTAGGGCTACTGTGTTCGTCAGTAACAGTTATTTTACAGTGTTCTGTTTTAGGACTACTACAAATTTCGCATCGATAACTGTGAAGGGAATTATAGGCGAAGGAACATTGCAAACATGTCCACCTACGTTCTTTAAATGTTAGAGTCGATGAACCTTTTAATGCACGTAATCTAAAAGTTGAATAAAAATATTATAGTTATTATATGAAGAATAACCACGAATAATTCCAAATTCTCACGAACTTTTAAAAGAATACTTCATTTATGAAGAATTATCCGTTAGGAACGTTTCCTATTTAATAAAGTAATGTGTAATGTACACTTACATTTCATCAGTGCTATATTTAGGTGGTCTGCTTCGCGATGCAATTATGCCTTGGTTTTCGTAGATATGTTGAACTTTTTTTCTAGATTCAGGTTCAGTAATTCCTATATAAGTATAGACAGTCTTATCGGTCGTCGTTTCATCTTTCGATGTGATATCACTGGTGCTTCGAGTTAAACTTCCCCAATGCTTTACTTCTCCTTTGTTCACACCATGAGAGTTTTGAATGTCACTCATGGAAGAACTGCATTTCGAAAAGTTACCCCTATCTAAAACGTCACTATCTAGACTTAATCTGTTCAAGTTTGGTGCATTTGTGTGCTTTCTTGTAAATTCAGAAAATGACCTACGGTATATTGGTTTTTGATTGGTAAGTCCTGGGCTTGGGGTTCCTAAATCTATATTTTCATTTTCTGCCCAGTTATCAACCTTGAAATAAATAATAATAAATTACCAATAATGTAATCTGCCTTAATTTCTTTTTAATAATTATTCTAGTGAAATTGTTAAAAAAGAAAAGATGTTTTGAAATAGGTGTTTAGAGTATAAAACAACAAATTCACATCCAAATATTTTTACCCTCATACATATTTAAAAAATAAATAGTTAAGGATATTAAATATTCTTAATCTTTAAATGTATATTAATCAGAAAAAATCAAATTACTGTAGAACTTTTTCCATATATTCATTAGAGAATTACATACCTTTATTAAAACACTGGGACTAATATTGCTGTTCAGATCTGGTTGAAATGGTGATTCACAAGCTTCACAGTACATATTGTCTGGATTATTAAGTAGTGTGCATCTTTTACAGGTCCAAGTAGTACTTTGTGGAATATTTTTGGGTTTCCAAGAGAATGTGCGAAATTCTTTCAAATCACAATTTCCTTCACTTTTATTTCTATTTACACCTACAACTTCATCATTTTTTTTGTGAGCTTTAGTATTGTCCACCTGTGGAACCCAGTTGGTTTGTTGCTGGTTGCCATCACAACTATAACTACGAATACTCGACAATGAAACAAAATTTGTGGTTTGATTCAGTTGACAGTGGCAGGTATTGGCTTTGTTACAATTTAAATAATTCCTGATCACAGTATTTGAATGAGAGTTTTCAATGGGAGGTAAACTACTAAAAGCCGCACAATATTTACAAGGAGAACGACTTATGTTCATTTTATTCTGGAATGAACTGCACACAACACACTTTAGAGTACACGAATTAGAATTAAATAAACACACTTCACATTTGTAGATATAGGTTAGAGAAGGTTCGCTTTTACTTCGTTTAAGACTAGTGAAATAATTAACATTATTTCCATGGTAAATACAATCTCGCTGCGATAAATAATCATGTTGTTTTGATGATATTCGGTATGTTGCAGAATTGACTTGGCTAAATTTGCTAAAATTAGGTACATTATTGATCTTTTAAACAAAAGATATGGCAGCAACAGTACCTGTTAAGAAAATTATTTTTTAAAATTATTTTGGTGGCATTACAATTTTTTGGTCTTCGTATGACGGTACAGTTTGTGCTGCCACCAAAATTTTCACATATGGAATCAGTTATGTCATCTTCTTTGTTTATGTTGTTTTGCCGCTGTGTTCCACATCGAATGCACTTTACCTGCTCCGTAGGGTTTATGAGGCTGCATGTCCTGCAATGCCATTGCAGCACAGATGCAATAGCACCCATGATACACACATGTTTACGAATTAATTTTTGTAGAATATTAAAACACCATCACTTTAAACAGCTGATCGACTACCTTTTGAAACATTTCGCCATTATTGACCAACACGCATGCGTAGGGGGAAACAACGGATGCATAAAACTAATAAATTTCATTTTTTTATTGTTGCATTATCTACTTTCCATTCATATTACGATTGATTTTCAGATACTAAATAGTCAATATTTTATTTGGTATTTTTTCCAATTAAATTTTAAATAAGACAAAATAAAACCTTTCTATGAGTAAATACTAGGCAACCAACAGTACAAGTAATAATGAAATACAGGGTAGGCTTTAGGCAATTTATTAAAATTTTCACCTTGAAAAGTACCTAATAAAGATTTCAGCAAAATAACAGGAACTGATGCTTAGCGTTAAATATTTCATGTAAAACACACATTTTCAGAGAAAAAAAGTTAGAGAATGCGTTTGAGGTATGACGTGTTACAGAAATATGTTAAAAATACCGTGAATCGAAAAGATTACAAATGAAGAGGTATTAAAAAGAGTAGAATAGAGTCATTGAAGTCATTCAATTACATCCTCTATAAGAAATACGCAAGATAGGTTGATGAGACACCTTCTCAGACATGAAGAACAAGTTAGAGACATATTAGAAGCAGAAGCAGGAGTTAAGAATTCCATCAAAGTTTCTAGAAATTTCTACCGATCGTGACTTACCCCAACAAACCATTGAAAAGTTCCCGAAGGAAGATGAACAAATTTACTGAAATTGACGATTTTTATCGAACATTCTAGAAGAAATCAAGATATTATATGCCTGTTACGATTAGAGCTACCGAAATAAAAATGGAGGAACAAATCAAAGTATTAATGACAATGGTAGCAGAAATGAAAGTAGATATGAAAACTGGACAAGAAGAAATGAAAGTAGGACAAGAAGAAATGAAAATCGAACAAGAAGAAATGAAAGAAGAACTGAAGGCAAATATAAAAATTGGACGAGAAGAAATGAAACAGAAAATGATACAAGATGACGTGAAACTGGCACAAGAATAACAAAAGCAGCTCAAGAAGAAATGAAGCAGGAATTAAAATCAGTGTAAAATGATATATGAATGGGACAAGAAGAAATGAAAACAGAAATAAAGAACGTACAAGAAGCAATAAATACGAGAATGGAGGACAAGATAAATGATATTAGAAATGAAATGGAAAAGAAGATAGACGAAAGAGAAATCGTAATGGAGAAAAAGAAGAAATGAGAGAATAAGAAATAAGAGAAGAAGTGAGAAAATAAATTGAAAGGCTAAGATAACCTCTACTGCTAGAGGCGAAGATCCCGATGCAAGGCCATCCAAAATTACACCTCCAACGTGGTTTGTTTACTTGAAGCTGTTTGGAGCAGCGGCAGAAGCAAATTCCTGAACTGATTCGGAGAAAGCAACAGCACTAATAGTTTCTTTACTAGGAGAGGCGCTGGATATACTCCAAGGAATACTCGAGTCCCAATAATATAACTTCCACCATCTCGTTAACCGCCTAGAAATACCTAGATAAACATCTACAACAGGTACATCAGAGGCAAAGGAAAAGCCGTAACCAAAGAAGTAAAGAGACTCTTCAGCAATTTCAATCCGATGTGGAGCGCCTCGTAACATTAGTCTACCCATCTGCCACTCAAGAGTTCATAGCCCAACTGGCGGTACAAATATTATCGACGAAGTCAGGGACGGTGAACTACAGCAAGTCTTAAGATTAGCACGCTAAAGGACACCAAGTGAAGCACTATCACACTCCCTAGAGTTTGAAGCAGCGAAAGGTCATATGTGTGTACGATAAACAGAAATTGACGATCAGACAATTACAAAACAAGGTGTCATGTCGCTCATCAGGGAATGCGTAATCGATGTCAAGAAAGCCACTGCTAGAAACACGGGAGAATGGAACCCAAAATGTTGGGAATGTGGAAGAACTGATCATTTTGCCCGAGACTGCAAGAACTACAGTAGTCGTCCAAAATGTTGGAATTGTAGAAGAATAGGTCACCTAAATCAAGATTGCCCTTCAAGAGAACGAAATCCAAAATGTTGGAAATGTGGAAAAATTGATTGTTGTGCTCGAATCTGCAGGAATTACAGTGGTCGTTCTAAGTGCTGGAATTGTGGAAGAATTGGTCACCTAAATCAATATTCCCCCTTAGACAATACACAATCTTTAGGCGAAAATAGACGACAGTCGGAAGGGTTACAGCGGCAAAACAACACATCAACGCAGTAACACTTGTTTGGGAAACTGCAAACATTGTTCATCTGTAAAAAAAAAAAGAAAAACTGGCATCGATCTGTTGTAAGCTAACCATCGCTCAGCCAGAGGATATTTGGGAAGATAAGGCATTAATCGAAGACCAGAGGAAGGACGAAGATATTCACACAATAACGAGATGGGAAGAAGCCGGAATCTCAAGACCATTGTGGACAGATGTAAACCACCTAAGTCAAACAACGAAAAGTGATTGGGCGCAGTGGACTTCTCTAAACTTGGACAATGGCGTTTTGAATAGAATGTGGGAAAGTCTAGATGGAACAAGAAACAAGCGCCAAGTGGTACTTCCGAAGAAAAGAAATTCAGAAGTCTTAAAAGCAGTCTATGGCGACTCTAGGGAAGGTACACCAACGATTTTATTGGCCACGAAATAGAAGCGATGTGGAAGACTGGTGCAGGAATTGCCTGATATACGTCATCAGTAAAGGACCGAAAACAAGGAGTCGTGGACGAATGCAGCAGTACAACGTGGGAGCGCCATTTGATAGAATCGCAGTTGACGTGGCAGGACCATTCCCAGTGACTGATTTTGGTTACCGATACATGTTGGTAGTCATGGATTACCTTAGTAAGTGACCCGAAGCATATGCGATACCGAACCAGGAAACACACCGTTGTTGTGAAGTTTGACAATGACTGGACTAGCCGATATGTAAAATTTATCGTAATTTTAATGAAGTTTAGGACAGACTAACTTAATAATTGCCACTAATAGTTTATTTTGTCGTTAATTTAATTCTATTATGCTTATCATAATTTGCTGTTTGTATTTTAAAAACATTTTTTTCGCTAATTATTCTGGGCGCTACAGGCATTTATTATATTTATTTAATTCTCTTCTCTTTTTTTCGAAAACTAATATGAGGAAGTACAGAAAATGATTTCGTTGTGCTCTGCAACGATCATTAATGACAACATTGTCGTGATAAATGAACAACAATCCAAATACGTAAACTCGTCTTTATATAACGCTAAATAATAATGTGAGCACAAAAACATATTTTTTAGTTAAAAATGAAGTTGAAAGGTTAGTGATTTAACTAAATCTTTTATAAATACCCATATTAGATATCGGATTTTTGGAATATATTAAAACAATTTAGAATTTTTAACTTGTCGACACAAACGCAGACGAAATCGTTTATTTCCGGGCTTTACGAGTAACTTATCACTTTATTGAAAGATAAAAGGGAATTGCTTGATGATTTTGAAGATATTGCTGGTAAAAATCTTAAGAAGAATACGGAAGCAGTCAAGAGGATTAAGAGGAAGAAACGAGACATGATGTATGCTTTGACTCTTTGGTGAGATGGAACGTGATCCTTTTTCCAATATGCAACCAATTTTTGAGCGAGTTAATAAATGGTGTTTACTCTTTTGTGTGACTATTTTTCAGTAATAAAAAGTTTTTTCGGTTTTCTTCATTAACCAATGGGATAACAAACCTTATATGCCCAAGACGACAAATCTTAAAATTCACAGTTAAATTTTGGGCTTCGATTTATTTCAGTTTTTCTTCAAACATATAGTAGGTGCCCAAACGTAGTACCTACTATATGCTTATAATGGGTGCCTGTAAATAGTGAACATTTCGAGTAATTTTGATCATTTTTAATCTTCACCCCTAATCAAGTCTCATCGGCGTAACAACTACAAATGGCGGTATTTTTTGGAATTTAATCATAAATATTGTACATTATGTTCTTGATTTTATAAAAAATTTAAGTCAAAAGATCGGTTAACAAAATTAATTTGGACAAAATTATAATTAACAACACAAACAAAATGGATCCACCGAAAATGTAGGGAGTATATAAAATATACTTCAAAAACTATGAAGCGACATACATATATTGGACAATCCAGAAGAAGCATTTCAATTAGATTATAAGAGCATCAAAAATCAATTACCAACAGTATAAAAAACACAGCCATGACTTCTAATTGTATAGAAAATAATTACTCTTTAGTTTTAGAAAAAATTGATTTATTACATCACGAAAGGTCCTAGATTAACTAGTTATAGGTAGCAGTTGTTAAATACATAATTTTAAAACATTATAATGCTTTTCTATCCTGTGTAAATTTATTAACAAAAGTTTCATAGTAAGTCATCACAAAATTCGTTTTATAAGCCTAGGGTATTTCACATGCTGTCTCTTTCCAAGGGTTATCAGTGAACAATCATAATAAATATTTAAAAATTCTTACCTTGAATTTGATTATTTCAAAAAATGTGAATACATATTACGAAATCGAGCATTCTTTTCTGCATGCGATCGTCCACACGCACGTGTAGAAAATGCGAAAATGCGTCAGTCGCTTCTCACTGCTTCTAAGCTGTTCTACTAACATTCACTGAACATAAATGTGCCCGAATGTCTAACAATAAGTTTATAAATTCGTTTAATCAATATACGAATTCTATCTATTATTACTAAATGATTAAGCAAAAGTGTANAATTTCTTGCCGAGTATATCGATATCAAAAATACTTTCTGCGAAGGTGAACAATTGCAAATCTAACGCGATGAACTCGCCGCACGATTGTACGATAATAAATTTTTGTGTATTGTTCGTGGACGGAATCACAAATAATTCAACTTTTTGTAGACCCCTTTATTCTTTTGCCCATTACATTTATTACGCGAATGAGTCTTGAAACGGTACAACAGCACCTACTACTCCGATCACGTCCGCAAATGAGTCCTGTGTTCTCTGCTCGGTGTCCAGCAATTCGAAGTCAGCTAAACAAAAGAAACGCCGGGAGTTAAATGAATGCACCGGCGCATTGTTTATTCAATTTTCTTCGATTGAATTTCT